AATGATCTGTACATGTAGGACCTTTCATTCCTTATGAAATAAACCAGATTCTCTCTTCATTGTCATGAATTGACATTTGCCAGTTAAAGACTGCTGTGTTTTTGTCAGGTTTAAATCTTCCCATAAAAATGCCTAAATCTATTAATGTATAGAAGTAGTTTTATGTTAAGGCTAGGACAACTTATACTAAAATTCATTTTAAGCACATTAAAACTGGCATGACATGCCACCATGCAAGTAAACAAGCTTTATGATGTATTTCAGTAACCAAAAATACAAACCCCAATTCCAGTGAAGTTGGGACACTGTAAAACGTAAATAAAACAATACAATGACTTGCAAATCCTTTTTGATCCATATTTGATTGAATGCACCACAAAGACAAGATATTTAATGTTCAAACTGATCAACTTTGTTTTTTGTAAATATTCACTCCTTTTCACAGGGGTAGTTTTACCACTGTGTTACATCACCTTTCCTTTTAACAACCCTTAATAAGCATTTGGGAACTGAGGACACTAATTGTTGAAGTTTTGTAGGTGGAATTCTTTCCCATTCTTGCTTGATATGTGACTTCAGTTGCTCAACAGTCTGGGGTATGCGTCATCGTATTTTGTGCTTCATAATGTGCCACACATTTTCAATGGAAGACAGGTCTGGACTGCAGGCAGGCCAGTCTAGGACCTGCACTCTTTTACTATGAAGCCACGCTGTTGTAACACATGCAGAATGCGGCTTGGCAGTGTCTTGTTGAAATAAGTAAAAAGACGTCGCTTTGGCAGCATATTTTTTTGCTCCAAAACCTGGATGTACTTTTCAGCAGTAATGGTGCCTTCACAGATGTGCAAGTTACCCATGGGCACCAACACACCCCCATACCATCACGGATGCTGGCTTTTGAACTTTGTGCTGATAACAATCTGGATGGTCCTTTTCCTCTTTAGCCCATAGGACATGACGTCCATGATTTCGAAAAACAATTTGAAATGTGGACTTGTCAGACCACAGCACACTTTTTTTTCTCAGAAATATTTTTATTAACTTTTTGAACAAAGAAACAGATACCAAAATGTGAATGACAGGCATCTAACATTGACAAGAGGTCTATTCCATTCAGGAAGAGTAAACCTGTCTGGGTACAGTGAAAAGGGAAATGCAAAGAACACACCCCAGACTATGAGCCCGTACGCTAGCCAATCAAGGATGGCCCGAGGAGACATAAAATCCTCTCCCTAACTTGTTTGCTCCATAAAAGGCCCCCACACCATTAAAAACCTCTCTTTTGATTTGCGAGCTGAGTAGTATATTTTTTCCAAAGCTAAACAGGCCATGATATCTCGCAACCATTGGGTATGGGTGGGCGGAGCAGCATCTACCCACCTCAGCAATATTGCACGCCTGGCCAAAATCGAGGCAAAAGACAGAATTCGGCGTTTTCCTGGGGACAGGCGCTCAACATTATCACCTGTAGTGCAATCAGAGGGTCGGGTTCTATGTCCGCTCCAACCATTAGGGATAGAGTTTGGAAGACTTCCCCTCCAGTATTTCTCCAAACTGGGACATGACCAAAACATATGGACATAGGTGTAGCCTCCTCTCTCCTGCACCTGTCGCAGCACGGGTCTACGTCAGGGTAGTAGCGCGCCAGTCGAGATTTGGATATGTGGGACCTGTGCACAACTTTGAACTGCAACAGGCAATGACAGGCACAGAGAGAGATTGTGTGAATCAGCTTAACAATTATGTCCCACGCGTAGGCTGACAAGGTAAGATTCAGATCCCGTTCCCATGTGCTTTTAACAGTATTAAGTGGGGCCTGCCTTATACCAAACAGCTTATCGTAGATAATGGAAACCAGACCCTTGCATAATGGTTGTAGATTGAGAAGAGCCTGGTGTCTATGAAGAGGTCTCTAAAACGCTCGATACCCAGTCCCCACCATTCCTAGAACGTTGGATCCAATAAGGAGGGTTGAAAAAGATGATTGGCGGAGATGGGACTCGAGGGGCAAAACTCAAGAAAACCAAAGTGCCTTCTGAACTGAGCCCACACTTTCAACGTGTGACCGACCACTGGATTATCTGTGAATTTATATGGTGCGAAAGGGAGTGGGGAGCCGAGAAGTGCTGGAGGGAAGAATTTTTAGCCGAGCCTAATTCCATTGCCACCCACGGAGGACGGTCGGATCGACTATGAAAGTATGACCAAAAGGTGAGGCAGCGAATAGTGGCCGCCCAGTAGTATAGGCGAAAGTTAGGTAGCGCCATACCCCCCTCAGCCTTGGACTTCTGAAGGTGAACTTTGCTGAGCCTGGGGCGCTTGCCCTTCCAAATATAAGACGATATAATAGAATCTAATGTATCAAAGTATAATTTGGGGATGAAGGTTGGTACTGATTGAAAGATATATAGGAATTTAGGAAGAACATTCATTTTGATAGAATGAATTCGCCCAATCAAGGAGGTAGAAAGGGGTGACCACTGAGCCAAGCTGTGTTTTGTGTGATTGAACAAGGTGAGAAGGTTTTCCTTGAAAAGGTTCTTATGCCTCCTCGTAACTGTGATACCAAGGTATGTGAATTTATCCTCCACAGTCCTAAAAGGAAAATTGGAATAGTCTGATACCGACATCCCCTTGTTGACAGGAAAAAGCTCAGATTTATTTAAGTTTAATTTATATCCTGAGAACTGGCTAAAATCATTCAACAGGGACAGCATGGCGGGTAGGGAGGTATCCGGACGCGAGATAAAGCTCAAAAGGTCATCTGCATATAGAGCCACTTTGTGCTCCGTACCATTCCTCCAGATGCCATGAATATTTTCGCAGCTGCGGATTGCTATCGCCAGTGGTTCAATGGCCAGGTCAAACATTAGGGGGCTTAGAGGGCATCCTTGCCGTGTTCCCCGATGGAGATTGAAAGGCTGCGACAACTGAGAGTTGGTAAAGACAATGGCAGTGGGGCTTAGGTACAGTAATTTAATCCAAGTGATCAGATTCGGGCCGAAGCCAAATTTACTTAAGACCCCAAATAAATATGGCCACTCTATTCGATCGATTGCTTTCTCCGCATCTAGAGAGAGGACACATTCAGGAATCTCACCCGGGGGGAGATACAGAATATCGAGTAAACGACGTATATTAAAATAGGAATATCGATTTTTAATGAAGCCCGTTTGGTCTTCAGATATGACCGATGGTAAGACACTCTCCAATCCCCACAGCACACTTTGCATCAGTCCATCTCAGATAAGCTCAGGCCCAGAGAAGTCGGCGGTGTTTCTGGGTGTTGTTGATATATGGCTTTCGCTTTGCATGGTAGAGTTTTAACTTGCATTTGTAGATGTTGCGATGAACTGTGTTAGCTGACAATGGTTTTCTGAAGTGTTCCTGAGCCCATGTGGTAATGTCCTTTACAGAATGATGTCTGTTTTTAATGCAGTGCCGCCTGAGGGATCGAAGGTCATGAGCATTCAGTGTAGGTTTATGGCCTTGTTGCTTACGTGCAGAGATTTCTCTGGATTCTCCGAGTCTTTTGATGGTATAGATACTGTAGATGATGAAATACCTAAATTCCTCGCAACTGAACGTTGAAAAACATTGTTCTTAAACTGTTTGATTACTTGATCACACAGTTGTTGACAAAGTGGTGAACCACGCCCCATCTTTGCTTGTGAATGTCTGAGCCTTTTGGGATGCTCCTTTTATACCCAATCATGATGCTCACCTGTTTCCAATAAACTTGTTCACCTGTGGAATGTTCCAGCATTCTTCAACTTTCCCTGTCTTTTGTTGCCCCTGACCCAGGTCTTTTGGAACGTGTTACAGACATCAAATTGAAAATGAGTGAATATTTACAAAAAACAAAGTTGATCAGTTTGAACATTAATTATCTTGTCTTTGTGGTGTATTCAATTAAATATGGGTCAAAAAGGATTTGCAAGTTATTGTATTCTGTTATTTACAGTTTACACAATGTCCCAACTTCACTGGAATTGGGGCTTGTACAAAAATATAGTTCCCAAGGTGCTTATTATATAACATTAAGACATATTATCCACTACAAATACATAACATGAGTGATCCATCCTCAGTACACAGAGCCCTACCTGCTGAGTGGAGGTGGAAGCAGTGCGGCCGGTTTTATTGGACTGAGAAGTTTTGGACTGGAAGATGGATGAATAAAAGACAATGAGGGCCTCTATGATGCGGGCCTGGTGCGGGTAATCAACCAGAGAGGACAGGGATATGGTGGCCCCCGATGGACGGGGACGCATCAGGGAGGGTCCAAACACAATACCCAAGTTGCTGGGACTCATCTTGTTATCCTCCTCCCGCTCTGCAATCCTGGAAGGAGGAAGACAGTGGAACAAAGGCCAGGGGTGAATGTGTACACCTAAGAAAATTAAAGAGAACTCAAAGCCTTTTCATTGTTCTGATGCTTTGTTTTAAATTGCTGACCTGCGAAGGTGTCGAATGATGTAACGCATTGTAGCGATGTTAGCTTTGGGCAGCTCCTTAAGAAGCTCCTTCAGCTTGTCCACCATCACCAGGATCTCTGGGTCAGTGTCTGGGCCCAGATCTTCCAGCTCTGGTCCCCTGCCCACCACTGGGTTGGTACCACTTGACTTTGCCTCTCCTTCACTCTGCAGACTCTCCTTGGCCAGACCCATCAGACTGTTGTACAGGCGGAATGGCATGATGGGCTCTGGCAGCTGGATGCAAAAGGTACAAGACCAACTGTATTAGAAAGGCTGATTAAGCTTGAACACACAACCTGAAAGTAGGGTGGAACAAGAGTTTTTTTAAATGACAGAGCATTTTATTAATCATATTTAACCAGATTATTAAAACTGGGAATAATAAAAACACACAAATTAACTGAACCTATCATATATTGTAGTTCAGGTGACTGCCAGGACCAACATGTTTTCTGGTAAAAACAAATGCAATTTAAAACCCTCGCTTTTAAAAACTTTCATTTTCACAATAATTTGTACACTTCAAAAAAATCTGAACCGTCAAAAAAAAAAAAAATACTACTAATTAATTACTTTCAGTCTCTTGGTCCCCAATGTTTCTTAGAGACAAATAAAATAGTATGTACACAAAAGACAAAAATCACCAAATAAGTCAAACAAAATCTGACATACTGCTATGGATGTTGATGTAATAACATTTTGACAGTGTTGCATTAGACTAAATCTTGAATACATGGAAGATAAACCACTTTAATAACATTTCATTCCCAGATTCCCATTGGCTTGGCCCATAAGCAACTTCAGCGCACTGTGTTTCGCTCCTGCATGTGCCCGCACCCATGTACCTGTCTGAGGTAAAGCTTGAGGACATTGCTAATGTCATGTGGTGAACACTGAGACAGCTCTACCAGCTCCTTGCCATTCTCGAAGGCCTGACAGAGTTTCTCAACACGAGTCTTCACTCCGTTTACTCTGTAGATGCCCTGCAAAGATGAAGCAGTGGTTTAGACTACTTCTCAGCAGCTAAGGGCAAAGATTCAACCAGTCAGCACTTTAATAAATGCACATTCTCACCTTCATCTTGAGAGCTCGTCTTTCTATCTCAGAGATGCACTTGGTGATGATGAAGGGGATGCCGTCACTGGCACAGCTAGCTACCTGAGAGAATTCCCTGCCAAACAGCTGCAGACGGCCCTGCAGCTTTTTATGGCCACACTGGATGGCCAGAGTCTCCAGGCAGCGCTTATGACACGCCAGGAAACACTGAGGGTGGAGAAGCAAGCGGTTATCTAACAAGACTTGTTTAATGATGGTTAGGAGCTGCACTTTTGTATTCTAGGGCACTTTTTAAAAATAAGGAAGTGATTCTTAAAAGGCATGATTAAGAATTCACCTCTTCACACTCAGCCCCCTGGAAGTAAACATAGCTGTCGCACTCGCGACACTTTGCAGGAGTCCGTAGTTTTCTCAGTCGGTGGGTCAGAGCTGCTTTAGACAGGCCGATGTTGCGAAAAGGTCTGGTGGACACCACCACGTCAGGGTCCATACCGTTAATATCTGGAGAAAAAGACACCAACCATGCATACTCCCGAACACTTGCTAAATTGATAGCCAACTTGTAAGTAAATACCCACATTAAAGTGTACAACATCTAAGTCTTACTTGGAGTTTCAAATGAGGCTACATTCCCATCTTTCTCATCTGCATCCTCGTTGGACGACATTGTTCCAGTGGATGATGTCCGAGCAATTTTACTGATGTCACCTACAACAAATATACTTTTATTTTTGCCGCAGACATACCATGTGCTTTTAAGAAGATTTCAACTGAGAAAAAGCCAATTCAATTCTTCTTTAGCATTATTTATAAATGAGATATTCCAGTATATACGTTACTGTGAATGTTTCTTGCTCACTTGTGCTGGCAGTGGGAGACTCTAAGCCTCCATCTCCTCCAACGCTGTCGTCGCTGACTGTTGAACCCCATGATTTGTGGCCCTGCCCTGGGGACAGCAAAGGAACAAGAATATGGCAATATTCAATATAAAAACAATGAGTTCTTTGGTTAAATACAACCACATTTTTAATTTTCTGACCCATTTTGTTCCAGGATATCATAAAACATTTTAGATTAGTAAAAAAAAAAAAAAAATCAGCACATTGAGATGAATACACTTCACACAAAATCTCAGATATCTCAATAACAGTTAAAACCACTAACTAGCCCAGAAACAATTACAGCACTTACTCTTGCGCTGAGCCTCTGTGTCTCTGTTGTCTCCAGCTGTTGTATCCACATTGGTTGTAGGACTGTCTATGTGGCTCACTGGCTCCGTGTTAAAACTGTCATTCCTTGGTCTGTGACCATGGCTGCAACAATGTGGAATTTTTAAGATGGTGAATATATTTAAAAGTAGTGTTTGTTAGTTGTTTAGTTTTACTTACATCATCTAAAGGAATAGTTCAACATTTTGGAAAATATGCTTACTTGCTGAGAGTTAGATGAGAGGATTGATACAATTAATGTCCCTACTGGGAAATATGAAGCATTATTTAGCTTAGAATAAATTCTTGAAACAGGGGATAACAGCTAGCCTAGCTCTGTCCAAGGTAACCCGTAAACTGTACCAGCACCACCCATGTTCACATATTAATACATTATATCCAAGCTGGGCACAGGGACTTCCTGTAGCTCTATCTTTGCAAGGTTGCCAAACAACCAACAGAGAAACCCCTGAAACATGCAAGCAGATTTTGTGTCCTTTGGACAAGCTAGACTAGCTGCTTCCTCGTTTCCAGTCTTTGTGCTAAGCTAAGCTAACCAGCTCTTGGCTTTAGTTACAAATTGAGTGTACAGTAATGACAGTGGCATCAGTGGTCTCACCTAAGACTTTTTTCACAGCAGACATTTTGAGTTGTCACAGTAGAAAAAGCACAGGTGTAGCCAACAACATTAATGATGTTCCACTAAACACTGCCACTCAGCAAGCATGCACAATACTATGATCTCAGAAATGGTTCACATAAATGGAATGCAGCTACAGAGTATTATCAGTTACACCAGTGCTTTTACTCCATGTCAAATGTTTGCTGTGAAAATGGTTGTCTGTTCTCAAGCAACAAGCATCCAGATGTCAATCTTTTCCTTAAGGCTACAGTTGAATACCTAGAAAATCGTGGCTCTGACAAACTTACTGTGACGATGAGCTGGAGGGAGAGTAGGCCTCAAATGTGTAGTGAACATTCGGCTGCTCTGGTAGCTGCAGGTCTCGCACATGGGCGGCATACTGCTGGCCTGGGTCATACAGCTTACTGCTCTCACACAGAGTCTGGTAGTGGACGGGCAAGGCTACTGTCTGCATGTGCATGAGCTGGTAGTAGGAGATGGTCGCCTGGTGTTGAAACATCAAGCAGAAGTGTTACTGAAATTCAGCAGCTGACACTATCCTGACACAACAGTGTGGTTTGGGGTTTCATGTATGTATGTTTGAGATTCCTCTGACCGAGCGGAGAGTCTGGTCACTCTGTTTGATGAGATCCTGCAGCTGTCTTAGTGCTGTGACCTTTGTGTGCTCCAGCTCCAGCTGCTGCGTGGTGGCATCTGCTATACATGTCCGGTAAGTGGCCTCTGCTTCATCTGCCTGCACACACGAACTTAATTACTTAATTTACTTCAGTTGTTCTATTTTATTTTCCCTTTTTAATTTGTCAGACTAGTACAGATAAATTAACTGTTGATTGAGACATCGTAGCAACCAGATAGACAATTTCCACCTCACATACAATAACCATGGACTCCTGATGAAATGGCTTAACATGTACATCACTTTCATTTTTCCTTCTGCAGCAATAAAGCTCTGAAACAACAGAGAGGGCAATAAAATAAAGTTGTTGATAAGAACCTTGTTGCGAGCCTCTTCCTCTAATCGTTTCTTCTTCTCCACAGACTTTGCTGTGGATCCTCCTCCCTCTTCCTCAGCTCGGCAGGCTGCTATTTTGGCCTTGTCATACTCCTCGCAGCGGACTATGTAGGCTTGTTTGGCCTTCCGCAAATTCACCTCACACTCCATCTAAACAAACATAAAATCAGTTTTGGTTTGTTCCATTTCTTACTCTTACCTCAAAATAAAAACAAACAGTCTGCTGCTATGTTTTGGTGATCGTAATATTCTGACCCTCTCATGTATGTAGCTGTGGAGGACAAAAATATAGAGAAACCTCTGAATCTAATGTAGCCCAGTATAACAGCACCTTTAACTATGACCTCAATAACAAACATATAATTGAATTTATACATCTATGACAATTTCACCAAAAACGGAAACATTTTGAACTTCTTAAACACAGATTTAAGCCAGAAGTGTTGCATTGAATTGCATACAACTGTACAGGTGTACCTAATAAAGTGGGCAGTGAATGTATAAAGAATAAGATATTGTACCAGTTTTCTCTTAGCTCGAATCCACAGCTCCTTGATGTCCTTCCGTCTCTTTTCATGCTCCTGCTTGCGTTGCATCAAAGGCTGCATAGACAAGCAAACTGACAGATCAAACAATGTGCACAGAAATACTCCAGTACTAACAGATATTGTGTGACTAATCTCAGTAAAGTTGACCTGGATGAAGGTCTGGTTATGCAGGGTGGCACTGGCCTGCTGCAGCCCCACACTCTGTTCCTGGTCCTGCTCCAGAGCCAGAGAGTAGATGGAGAAGAGAGGCATGTAGGGCTGGATGGAGGGAGCACAACACAATTATGAACAATGAAAAGGTTTTATAGTCAACAAAAACAGAGCAACAAATGTCATGTTGATTTACATTTATTTCTAGCTTTTAACATTCAGTATCACAGTTCACCAGTGAGAGATAATGGTAAAAAAAAAAAAAAGTTTGAAAATAAAAAGATGTTTACATGTGTTATGCTGTGTTTGCAGGATTGGTATAATCTCTGGAGGCCTTTGGAGAACTCAGCCTCTGGTAACAGAAGAAAACTGCCATTTAACAACCGAAACTTTTTAAAGTCACAAATATAATTCATTGATCTATTAATGATTAACAGATTTGCTTATATAATCCAAATACACTAAACACCAGTCACAAGTCAAAGGCCAAATTTGTCATATTGCTTTCCCCCCCCCCCCCAAAATAAAATCATAAATACATTTTCATTTGTTCAATCACTACCTACCCAGTGAAGTTCTCTTCTCCACATAGCTAATCAAGTCCTTCAGGTACTTGGAAATGGTTTTGGCATAGAGCAGAGCGGAGTCCACCCCCCCTTCACTGTGCTGAAGGATCACATCCACTTCCTCAACTCGGCCTACACATCAATGCACAAGCACAGGTCACTGCACAAACTATTACTAAGGCAACAAACTTTTGTTGATTACAATTAATGGGAGGTGAACGTTTGCATCTATGAAGATCTAGCCCTCAAGTGATCTTCTCCGGCATCCTGCATTTTATTTTGGTGATTGTTGTAATTTAGCTCTCTTTAATAAATGACTACTGAAGGTTTTCTGAGTTTCTGTAGCTGGCACCCATCAGCTGTCACTCTTCCTGTTTAAGATATCAGCGCACCACAGTGTTTATTTCAGCAGGGGGAGACCTACTAGACATCAAGGGTGTGCATCAACAAATGGAACGGTTTTCATTAGTTGATTAAATATTTAAATTGCTACATTCTAAATGGACAACTGAAAGGACACAGACATATGAAAATATCATTAAACATCTGCATTTTCACCAGAATGTTTACATAAGATACAAAATGAGAGTGAATGGAAGGACAGAGGTGAAGAAGCGTCACAAATAGCAGCTGTGATGGATTGAAAGAAGTCAACGAAAGATGAGGGAGTGAATGGCAGACTGACTGCCTACCCATGTCTTGCAGGTTGCTCCTGAACTGCCCGCTGTCTGCTCCCTGGCCTGTCGCAGTGTACAAATTCTCCATCGACTACACAGCACAAAGAGGATTCATTAGTGATAAACTCAGATCAAGGCTCATCATCAACTCAGACATTTAGTTTTCTACATCCAGTACAAATCAATGTGTGACATTTAATCAGGGTGTACAACTTTCACAGTGCAGCTGATGAACTCTGTATTATGTGTTAAGATAATCCTACTATTTTTAAACCTGGCTTTGTGATAAACATTGACTCACCCTGCTCTTCTCAGTGGGCAGCAGGGAGAGCAGAGTACTGCTGTCCACCTCTCCCATCAGCAGCTCAGACACACTAAGGAGAAGCAGATTAATTGTACATGTGATATGTCAGAATTGAGTCTTTTCACCAATAATCATATGCGACAATCTGCCGACAGGGGGCATGTAGAGTTGGTTTTTAAAATGAAAGAAAAAAGAGGAAGAGGGCCTTGTAGGAAACCTTAACAGGAAGACTGAAAACAGTTTTATCCAAGTTACCTTTGTCTACAAGGTTTGACCTATCTTTACACTGCACATCACAGTTATTTTATTTTTCCACATATTCCTCTTCACTCCAGAAGAATCCTTATGACCTCTCTTTTATTCAACTTGTCGGCTAAAATAATGTCAAAACAAAAAAAGCTCGCTCCATTTTGGTGTTTTTCAGTTCATAACAGAAAAGGAGTCAGACAGAGGAGAAATGGGGAAACAGATTTGTCAGGCAGATTTCAACGGTCTCTGCCAGCTCACTTCCTCCTGAAGCTGTGACAGATGTCTAAACCCTGAAATGGCACCAACAAACATGTGACAAACTGGGGGTGTCATTTACTCTAATTACACAAAATCTGATTCAAGTCTCTATTTGGAGATTACATTTAACTTTCAAGATATTACTTTAAAAAAAATTGGTAAAAAAAATTTGGAAAAACATTTGATGATTTCAGAGTTGCTACATTTATTTTAGTTGGCCTCAGTTCCTCTCAAGTATCAAGTGAACACACGTCATGATCTATCATCTCCCTAGTCTACATCAATCTGTTCATGCAACAGCCAGGTAGTGAACAACAGTTTAAAGTTTTGGTTTTGTGTCATAAGGTGGAAGAAAAACCACTTCCTGTTTTCAGCAGTGCCTCATGCAAATGTGTCACCATCACCGCACCTCTCTCTCTCTCTCTCTCTCTCTCATTCCCAACAATAGAGTACTTTGTATGTATCAACACACATGACCTGATTGTTCAAATATATTACCCGTTTTACAGACAGGGCACAGATGAAAACCCAACATTGTCTTAGTAAGGTGTCGGGCCACCACATGCCACCAGAACAGCTTCAGTGCACCTTAGCATTGGCTATCCAAATCTCAGGGCTTTACTGGAGGGGTGAACACCATTCTTCCAAAAGATATTCCTCATGTAGTGTTTTGATAATGGTGGTAGTAGAGAAGCTGACTAACATGTCAGTCCAAAATCTCCCCTAGGTGTTCAACTGAGTTGAGATGTGGTGACTGTAAAGGTCATAGCATATGATTCACATAGTTTCTCATCAAACAATTCAGTGACTGTAGATGGTGGTGCTGTCATCCTGGAAGAAACCACTCATTTATTCATGTTTTCTTTTCATTTGTCACCATCTGTAGTTCTATCCTCACTAGCTCCTACATTACTGGCACTCTAATACAGACTGTGAAAACAGTAACTATACCAAACAACAGTAGTAATTACCATAGGGTAATTATGGGATGACCAGGTTATGATTTTAAACTAGGACACACTTACTTGCTGCTAAAAGCAACTGCAATGGTTTCAATTGCCTTCTCAAAGTCCTTTTTATCTGCCTCGTTAGAAGCCTCATAGTGGAAACCTGAAAAACATAACCAGGCAGGTGTTCAGGTTTCAGTTGTGGTTGGGAATACACTGTTGACCAAATTTCACATTGGTTATATCACACCATTACACCTGCAGTTGGCAGTTTATTAAGTCTACCAGTCTAATCCAACAGCCCTGCAATAAATCCTCCTTGAGTTTGTGTTTAGTTTCACAGAGGTGTTGATTCAACTGTATGGTCATATATATTGTTGAACTGTATTATACAGAGGTGTTTGTTACCCTCATTTATATTATTAGGGTGGACAAAACTATAGAAACACCCATTAAACATGATGCAATACAAACGGCAACATGAACCACAACGTCCAAAATGTTCACACAATTGAATCAACACCTCACTGAAACAGTTTAAACACAAACTAAACATCCTTCATGATAGAGGATTCACTGCAGGACTGTTGGATTAGACTCCTTAGTTTTAGCTAGGGGTACCTAATAAGTTGACAATTCATTTTAAGTACAGTGTACCAAAGCGTGGTTTCTGTGATCAGTAACTACGACAGATTAAACGTCACGTTTAAACATAAGTGTTGATAACATTACAAAACATATATATTCCTCATGTACTTTTAAAAAACAGCCGTTTTCTTTTTCTTAAACTACGTGTTCTCCATTCCGACTGACCTTTGACCTTGGATATAAGATTGCCAGCAGCAGTGAGGATCTCCACCGTGTTGAGCAGAGGGTAGGTATTGATGACCTGACGCAGCACCCGCAGGACCTCCCCCAAACATTCATGGGCCAAGGGCCGCCGATTTTCCTTTTTTCCTGCATGGGATGAGGGACCAAGGAGAAGAGTTAGTTGCACAGTAGGGACCACACCAAACATCCACTGGTTTTGGGCGTTTTACACCTTAAATGAGGCCTTTATGGTAACTCAGTTCTAGTACAGATCTTTGTGACTGTTTTGCAACTTGTTTCACATCTAATACAACCACCAGTTTAGTTGTCTTTACTTCATGTGTCAAAGTTATGTCATGATAGCACAGTAAAATAGTGGTGAACTGGGACCGCTATGAAATCACTCCTTCATGGTGCCTTTGTAGCTCTGGCATCTGAAGTTTAAGTTCAGCCAGCAAAAAAAAAACAAAACAAAAAAAAAACAGCAGCTTGGTGTCATGAATGCATCAGTAATGATGAGCTCAGTCCATGCTAGCAAATGCATCACAACATTGGACCAAAAATAACACTCATTAAAGGTTTGCTTAGGTGAATTGTGTGTCTCCATTAAAACAGTTTTGACATTTTAGGAAAAACATCAAGTCCCTGCAAGTCAGTGTTTCTGTGGATGAGACAGACAGTCATAATGCTGACAGTTAGGACAGCAATAATGAGAAAACAAACAAGTCAGTGTGTCAACGGTTGGAGCACAGTGTCATCTTCTCAGCTTTGATGTCACTGGTGACACATCTACAGCCTGCATCCTTACTTTCTCCTCACACCCGAACACACAGACTGTTTTTGTTAACTTGTAGTTGTCCAATGTTGCAACCTTACACTCCTCTGTATATCCTTTTCTAATCAAGGCCACTCACTCACGGAGGAGGCCAGAGGGCAGCCGGTCCGCCGCCCTCCCGTAGTCTGTCTGAAAATGTGCGTCAGTGTCAGTCAGTAAGAACAGACTGACCCGAACACTGTGCCAGAGAGAATGTGGTTCTCTCAGGTTAGAAACCAATTCCGGTGCTGTGCTCAATCTGCTTTCTGTGGTTTTATGAACACAGTATGATTGTAAAGAAATACAGTGAGACCTAAAGGGCAGTGGGGGCTCTAGATGAAGGCAATCTCTGGACAGCAGCAGGGAGGAGACCAAAGCTTTGATTGTGCTGCTGATTAAAAAGAGGCAGCACCACGTCCCTGCGATGCACCCAGCCTGTCAGAGGAGGAAGTGTGGACGAGGCCTCTCTGTCACAGGCTATCCATCATGGTTTCCTGTTTAGAAAGCTCACTGTGGGTGGAGAACATGACAGCACAGAGCCAGATAACACCAGCCAAAAAGGCACAAACAAAACTGTTTCCTCTGAACCACAGAAATTCCCTAAAAAAAAAAACCAAAAAAAACAAAAAAGCCTTTTCACTGGAGAAAATAATTTGAAGTAAGAACCTTTTAGCAGGAAGATTCAAGTCTAAAGTAGTAGTATTTACTCCATGAAGAAAAGTACAGGCATTTTGAAATTTTAGGCCGTGTTGCACAGCGTAGAAGGAGAAAAAGGTGCGTGTGCACAAGGTTACAATAAACAAGAAACTGGCTTCCTGCTGGAGTCAAAAGTGCGGTTGAGTCTGTGAGTGCAGCGGAAACACAGCCCTTCATTTGGAGAGAGGAGGCTCAGAGGCACTTGTTAGCTTGCTTGTGCAGGGTTGTTCTGACCAAAAACAGCATTATTCAGTCTGCAGACTAACAATACAAATTCAAACGTACTCGACACAAAACAATGACACTGAACAGAAACAATGACATACTGAGAAAGATGAAAATCATAACTGGCTGCACATGCACAGAGAGCTGTTTTGTCTCCATGTTGGTGAAAACGAGCATTATTCATGTCACAGGTGGAGATCATTCTGAGTTCAACCAAATCAACCCACAAAGCACGTCTTCAGACATGTCCCTGTAAGCTGTAATTTGACAAAAATACACAAGCCCCACAAGACAGGAGCGGCACTCAGTGACGGCTGAAAGTGTAAATATTTGGGACCTAAATCTGTGACTGTTTATGAAGTGTGTGGACAAGGCTTTAAAATAAACAACTTTACCTTCAGCCAGCACCACATCCTTCAGTTTCTCCACAGCTTCAGCAAAGCGCGCCACGTCCCGCAGCAGGGCTGGGATGTCCTCCACCTCAATGGCTGTGCCCTCTGGAGTCTCAGATGGAGGGGTCGGGGTCAAGGCCCCTTTCCCCTGGCCTTTAGTAAACACCCAGGACTGCAGCGGGAATCCTGAGGAGACAAAGAGCCCATCCCTCAGCAAACTCGCATTTAACCTCAAGATAAGCACAGAAAATTAACTGACAACAATTTTAACAATTCATTAATTGTTTAGGATATTTCTCAAGCAAAAATGACAAACATTATTCAGGTCCACATTCATAAAAGGGGTAATTGGACATTTTGGAAAAATATAATTAATCACTTTCTGGTGAAAAATTAGATGAAGACTGATACCAGTCTTGTGTCTGTCCATCATCTGGTTAGCTTAGCTTAGCATTAAGACTGGTGATTTCATGCCAAGAAATAACTTAGCCCATATCCCCTACCATTAAATGGCACATTACCATTTTTACACTTTGGTGTTTGTAAAGATTAAGCAAAGGGGATGTAAACCTGAGCTTCAATGATAAATGCTACTACACAAGTAACCCCAGCGAGAGGGGTTACATACGGAGTATGTGGGACCTATGGATACTTTGAAACCCAACATCTAGACTAACATCGAAACAACTAGTAGCTCAGTGCTCTAACATCTGCAAGAAGCACCTGTTATCACAACTGGGAGATTGATGGAGTACAACACAAATGCTACAGCAAGGGGGGGCCAGGATGACAGGTCAGTGGGGAGATATCATCACCCCCACAATCAGAGATTGGGTACCAAACCCCAATAACAAGCCCAGATGAGCTTAATTCAAGAGCAGCTGACCTGAGATTGAACATCACAAGCAAGATGGGCACCAGAAACCTCCATGGCCGTTACCAAGACTAAGTGAAGTGCCTTCTGAAAGTCTACTAGAGGATGTGAATGCAGCACTAAGAGCAATCCCTACTACGACCATCACTGAGACCAACAAAGCTCATATACACCACAGCAACCGTCATCCTTGAGATGCTTGGCTACAAGTTCAACAAAGACCATAAGGAGCAGTACTATTGTACTACCAGAAGGCAACATAGCAGATGTTGAGGGCAGCTACAAGTACCTTGGGATCCCGCAGGCAAATGGAAACCATGAAGAGGCCGGAAGGAAATCAGCAACCACCAAGTACCGAGAGTAAGGCAAGTCCTGAGAAGTCTGCTGAATGGAAAGAACAAAGTCTTACATCAAAAGAAGTGTGCACACGCATGCACACGGGCACACACACATTGACTGAATCCACCATCAACCTTCCTTTATTTCAATGTCAGTGGAAATCTTTCACTATACGTGCATGCTGACATCACACATCTGAATCATAACTTCATTTCTACTTTAAATGACAAGTCTTGGGATGATCTAGATTTTTATTACTGTCAGCAAACAAAAAAGTAGCAATGACTGGATACTATAAACAAGCAAGTGCTGTCAGTGTAGCTAATGCCTGGTATACAGCAGCTTCCTATGTGCCGTAAACGTTCAAAACACATCATTGGATGTGACGAACATGGGCACTCTGGTTTATTTTCAGTCAGTCCCACAGATTTTCTCCCAGGTGCTGTCACCTGGACACCAAATGTGTAGTAATCCAGAGCTGAAAAATCAGTAATCAAGTGCAGTATTTACTCCTGTTTGAGTAACATTTACTAGACACTACATTTCACAGCTGTTATGAGAAATTAATAATCACCTTTATTTATTTGGCCAAGCATGTTACACACACAAGGAATTTGTTTCTGGTACAGAACCAAGGCAGCCATCTACGGCGCCAACTCACACCGATGGCTCTAACCATCGGGGGGCAACTTGGGGGTTCAGCGTCTTGCCCAAGGACACTTCGACATGTGGACTGCAGTCACCATGAGTCAAACCACCAACCATCTGGTTGGGAGACGACTGCTCTACCCACTGAATCACATAAACAGATGAAGAAGGCTGTAGTGATAGATGCAGCGGTAGTGGTGGACAAACAGAAGAAGAAGGCCGTAGTGATAGATGTAGCAATCCCAAGCGATTGCAATATCAGGAAGAAGGAACACGAATAGCTAAGATACTGCACAGGACCCTCAAGCTCCCAGGCCTCTGGTAGAGGACCCAAGCTTGAAGGAAGGCATACAAGACCGCCCCAAAGTCGGGGGCAAGTGGGGAATTATATATATATATTAATAAACCACAATTAATTGTTTGGGTAATTTTAATGTAAAAAAGTCAAACATTCTCTTGCTCCAACTACTCATATGCAAGGTTTTCTGTTTTTCATTGTCATATCATGGTAAAGTGAACATTTTTGGTCAAAACGAGACTTTTAAAGATTAGACTAACATTCCATTTATCTATGCAATATTAGTTATTTGCAGCTACACTCCAAAGTACTATAATGGGATGGCATTTTGCATAGCTCATTCTTTGTCTTTAGGCTTCAAAATGTTCACAAATATTTCCGTCTCTTCCCTGAATGAGGTGAACATAAATGGTAACTATAACTTTGGTTTTATTGCAGCAGCTTACTAAACTTTAGGTAAGTCAAAAGTCTTTTGTACACTGTTTGCAGCCTTTCTCCAGATTTTTGCTCTCTGTTTCAGCTCACATGTGGATGTGGACAAGATTAAATTTAATCACACTGCACTGACACAACAAGGTGAACAAGTACTGATGCATCTGAACCAGACCTGCAGCACTGGCGTGCCTGCTCAGTGCAGTGGGTCTCTTCAGGGTGGCCACAGGAGACGGGCAGCCCACCCCCTGCATCACTGTCAGTTTACTGTGCTGGGTGCTGGGGGTGCCCGGAGAGGACATGGAGGGGTCCTGGAGGCTGGTGGAGGTTGGAGTGAACACTGAAGAGGAGGAAGATGATGAGGGGGAACAGGAGACGGTGATGTCGCCGGCATCTTTGCGAGGCTGCTCCTGGAGGATGGACAGCTGACAAAGGACAGGAAATGAGAAAAAGGTTAAGATGATCACATGATTTACTGTATGCTCCCCGGCTCGACACCACATCGACTTCAATGCAACTCTTCTTTGATTTTGCGGCCTTAATCACACAGCCAGTGTCGCTGTTGTTGGTAAACACACATGAAGACTTTCACAAGATCCTGTGTCGCGTTGTGCACTTCCTCACTCCAATCTGTGGATGGGTGTGGCAATACGAGCGGAGTGCAGAATAAAAGAAATACCATTTACTGTTTGGAATAAGAACAGTGACATTTTCAGAGGTGGAAATGATCTCATCTGCATATTAAACATACACAAACCTTTCCCAACATCATGGGAAAGGGTTTGTTACACCACAGTTAGTGCCTCATGGTTTTGGGGCTCGACAAGCACATCTCTGTCAAGACCAGTGAGTCCTACTCACTGCTAAGATGAGTTCAAATACGTCACAAGAAACAGAAAAGCATCCCTGTATATTTGTGCTGGACACATAAGATGGCATACATCTAGGCAAACATACCTGTTTGAGCCACACGTTTTGCTTGTTGGGCAGTATATCCAGTGTGTCCTTGCCTTTCAATTTGGCATTCTTAACTCTCTGACTCTTAGAGTAAGGGTTGTAGCTGCTTTTGCCATCGCGTTTCAGCATGCTCCTTCCTGCTACAGCTTTGTCCACATTCTAACTAAGCGTAAGACAACTTTTGAAACTGATCTGGCAAGAGCATTCATTCTCACACTCACACACACTGCAGCCTATCACTGGTTTTGTGGTAAAACCCCACACAAGATGTACTTCCTATGAGCTTGATATGAGTAAACGTGCAATCAGGTACACACACACACAATTATCTGAACATTTAGTGCCATGTCACTGAATGATAATGAACGTTTTCGGGTAGTTCCACACAGCCAGCCTAGTTTCTCATCCTGATCACACCAATCACAAGTCGTTAATGCTCAAAAAACGTGACAGCTATGGGTTGGTTTTCCACACACACAGTCAGCCCTGGTCCTGCGCCCGCTCTGCAGCCTGTCCTTGCCACCTGAAGGTCATCTGACACACCACACAGCAGATCACCAGTGTCACTGTCAGCAGAAACCAGAAGTGATGCGCTACTCACAGACGATGCGCCGCTCTGCGGCCCGGGGCTTCCTGCTCGACTCTTCTTCGAGATGGATGGCGTCTTGATCAGTTCCCGTTTCTTTCTGGTGAACATCTTCAGGGTGCCTTTGCCGTCCATCCTGACCTCTTTTAGTTTCTCGTACAGTCCCCCCACCCACCCCCCGAATCGCCACTTGGGTGCTCTGCCGTTCACGCTCAGCGGGAGCTCTGTTCCATTCAGGTTCACCTTCTGCCACAGTAAATGTTTGTCTGTCTTCCTTCTGCTGCTGTAGTACATCGAGCCGCGCAGGCTCAATAACAGAAAGACACAACTAACCGCAAACTGCCTGTGCTCTCCCGGCATCCGCTCAGCGCGCAGCTTACGTTCAGTTTCCTCAGGAGGAGGAGGAGCAACGCGTGAGGGGGAAATTATGCTTTTTCGCAAAGTTTTGGGATGTTGATTCTTTTCAAATGACACTCAAGAAACAGCGTCCTACAAGCTGGACTTTAGAAATATTCAAACTAAGTTGAAGTGAGCCCTGTGTCCTGGCGCAAACCAAACACCATTTACCTTGTTGAAATTCACAGTAATCAATCCACCACGACACACGTGTGGTTCAGCACCATGTGACCTTCAGCTTTTGATGGGAACCTTACACCTGCTTGTGCAACTGCTGCAGACACGGGCCAAAAATCGTGACAAATTCATCATGCAGCCAAAAACCTTCCAATACGGATACAATGATCTCAGGTAGAGAACAACCACAAGATGTTGGTGGATTGTTAGGTCACAGAATACTGCGCGGACCTCTGCTGTATTTTTAAAAATACTTCGTTTTTTATTGGAAGCAAAAGGCTTAATTTGAATTTATATGCAACTTTATTTACTGCTATGCTGAAGCTGAATGTTCAATTTTAAATATCGTTTAGGTTATAGCACTGAAACATTTGACTATACTCTGAGTTCTCCTCATTGAAATAACTAATTTATACTAATAAGTTGCCGATATTGGTCAATTTTAAACACCGAAGTGTCATAAATTTAAATGAAGTATTGCAAAAATAAATTAACCTTTTTTAAACTTCGAGAAGGTAAACTACCTAGATGTATATAAATGGGGTTTCTAAGTAAAATAAAAACATTTAAACATTTATAAATGCTATAAAGTCCATAATTACATTTCAACAACATGCCTTCAATCATGGTTAAATTTCACAATTAGATATGTATTTTAGTTGCCTAGAAAGATAAATATATTATGGTCTTCATTTGCTTTCTTGCTCAGTTCTTTCCCACATAAGAGTAAAGTGATTTAAAAGGTACAACAATAAATTTTAAATGAACTTCTAACTAATACTGGCTTTGAAATGATTAGTGCCTCACCAAACCTAATTTTAAACACCTGGACCCTGTGCACACTGTGGCCACTAGAGAGGAGCAGAACAATGAAAAATTGTTTGATGGCAGTGAAGCAAGAATTAACTGTTGGGAGGCCCCTAATCAGTTTGCCACCATGTTAGTTTGTGGTAACTTGATTACACAAATTTATTTAGAATTATGCACCCTCCAAGCACAACTTCATCTGATAAATTAACATTATTCAAACTATAGATTTTTACACAAACTCTCTATAAAAGATAAGGGCTCAAGATTAGGTGAAAACCCTCACATATCAGTTTATATTGTGCTTTAGTGATTCATATTATCAAACTGATTTGTAAAAAAAACAAAAACAAAAAACAAACAAACATCAAATTACAACAAAGTCATTACAGCAAAGTGAACCTGGGGTCTTTGCCCAGGTTCAGGGGCAAGTCTACTCACAGGTCACTTTACACATAACACTACTGTTACGTCCAACCTCTGTGTCACACTCTGCTTATAACATCATTGTCCATATCAAGTTATACTATGATGTCATGAATGATTAGCAATGGCCAAAGTTGCATTTATGTATGTGAAACCTGGCTTAATATAGACTTATAGACTTCTACTAATTTGTATGACTGAACAAGCTTGTTTAAAAATTTTTTAATTTCTTTATTAAAGAGCCATCAAAAAATTTCCTGAATGCCTTTGCTTAATTCCATAAAAACAGACTAATTGTTGATATGTTACATACAGTAGCTTTAACAACCAAGGGCAAACTGATTTAGTTTCACATATGGCTATTTAAATTATATTTTAAAAAAAAGCTGAAAAAGAAACATTCATCTGTGAAAGGCTGTAGAAACCTTGAACACAACAGTCTCCACCATCCTACAGCCACATCGTCACATAAAACTTCACAAAAACATGTAAAAATCATCCAGGTAACAGTTTCTTGGCGGAGTAAAATTGTTTCCATGTCCTCAGAGCGCTCCATTTTTAATCCTCATTGTGTCTAGAGTTCTGTCGCTGGTCCCCATTCAATGTCGTTTTCTTCATCCTCCTCCTCAGAGGAGGAGTTGCCGTGAATCTGTGTGCGCCTGAACTGAACTGCTTGGTGATGATGTGCCAGCCTATGGGACAGCAAAAGAGAAGGGTCAAAATTACTACACAGATGGGTGATAATCTGAAAACCAGAGGCCACCAAAGAACGCTTACACAATGAAGTGAGGGCCTTTCTTCTCCTCATGTGGTGGCTGTGGCTGTGTCTCTGCCTCACTAGCCTGGAACAGAGGACAAGAACCGGTTTTCTTCTTAATAACAAATGAGTCAGAACTCAAACACAATCATTCTTGATGATCTTAAGACCACATTGGAGATTCTGGACTCCTTTACTAGAAAAATCACTTATCCTTTCCAAAGCCAACAACTATTTTCCAAAACAGTATACCAGTATATTTTCCAGTCAGCCACACTGGTTTCAGTAAGAAGAGTTAATTTAGAGACTTACAACTGCTTATAAAGTAAACATTTATAAATCTTTATGTTTGAGACAAAGTTAGATTGTTCTTGCGTGGTAAGGCAAATTTGAATGCATCAGTCTTCCACAGCAGGTGTATTCAGAGGGTGTCAAGCAAGGGACAAAGAACTAAAAAGTATTTTAAAAAAGTTATTTTACTGTATGCTTTATATAAAGTACATAATAGCTGCACATTTTCATTGTTGATTAATCTGTAGATTATATTCTAACATAACTGATTATCCATGTGGCCTCTATAATGTAAGAAACTTGAGAAAATGTCCACTACAATTTCCTAAAGTGTAAATTTGCATATTTAAACCGACAAATTAAATCTGATTTTGAAAAACCCAAAGATATTCAGTTCACAATTGTAGAAGTCTAACATTTGACAAGCTAAAGCCGGGTAATGTTTGGCATTTTTGCTAGAAGAAAAGAAATTAATTAATTAAGGGCTCATTTTGTCAATTTACTGACTAATTGTTCCAATACAGTTGGAAGATGGCCTTAAATATAATA